TCGTAAACAATGATTTATCATTTACTAACAATTGTCCTTAACTGGAGTTACTGACAATGATCACGATAAATTATTGTTTACGATCAACCACAATCTAATTCTCTCAAGAAGCACCAGTTTACCGCTGAGTGAAAGCTGAGTTTCCTCCTGACTGTACCGCCGAGAGATCCCAAAAAGATCCTCTGGGCTAGAACTCATCCCCAGGTCTGATCAGATCTGAGGAGTCTTGAAGTCTTGAAGTGACTCCCGGGTTCTAAGCTGGCGCCCAATGATCCCGGATCCTTGATGGTTTCTTGTCGTCTGTTCTTGGAGAATGCAACTGGAAAATCAGAGANCATGTAAGGACAGCACACAGCCTGAAGAGTTCACCACGAGCCTTTTTAGCGGCCTTCAGACATTGAGTTTCAGGCTTGAAACTTCGTGAGAGTGACTGCTAATTCCTTAACGGTATCCGTGTGCTGCAGTGCCAGCTGCCCGTAAGTATTGAAGTGACTCTAGTGTTCAAGGCTGGTGCCCAATAGCCCCGGATCCTTGATGGTTTCTTATTGTCTGTTCTCGGAGAATGCAACTGGAATATCAGAGAAAACTGGAGGGGCAAAATATCGTCTTGCCCGGGGACTAGCGATGTTAGTTATATTGGCAGCATTATTAATAAATGTAACAATTTGCTATAATAAATGAGGAAAGGCATAAATAACTAGAAAAGGGCTACAGTAAGTAGAAAAATTAAAAAATATAATAGTAAAATAAAAAAATGTTTTGTTTTTGTTTTGTTTTGTTTTTTTGTTTTTTATAAAACAAAAGTTTTGCGAGAGAGGACTCAAAAGGAGGCAACTAGACCTAGATACTTATCATGTCAAGATTTGAATGACACTTTGCTTGTTGAAGAGACTATCTCTTCTGGTAATGCGTGAGCAATTACCCTGAAGGTGAAGAAAGATGTGAAAAACTTATCTAATAGGCCCGAGGAGAACAGGTGGTGTAGAAAAAATAAGTCACCCCTAATTCCAGAGGATACAAGTCAAGTTCCACTAGACGTTCAGGATAGGGAAGGTGTTGCGATTGCAACCACCGTTTTGGTTGCCACTCTTTGAACTCGTTTAAGAGCATCACGATCACGGATCAGACCGGAGTGAACAACTTGACTACTATATTCTAAGAGAGGACAGATATATGTGCCAAAAATAAGTGGAAAGTCTTCCTTGGTGATATGGGAGAAAGGCCTTCGAAAAAGGTGAAGAACACGGAAGGAGGATTTTCTGACTAACTGGTGATGATGCGAAAAAGAGAAGTTACTATTTAACCAGAAGCCTAGGGCCTCGTGCAACTTTGTATGCTGAAGAGGTTGCGTACCACGTATATGAAACGAGACAGGAGAGGAGTTCCCAAAAGTCATGCCTACACATTTGTCATCATTGATGGGCAGATTCCATTCAATGGATGAAACTACGGGCCAGGAGGAGCTCCAGGATGCAACATTTCTCCTGCCCTATAGAAAAAATGAAAGAAGTTACAACAGACAGCGTGCTGTTGGTCCACAATGAAAATTGCTGCACAGAAACAGTATCCTTACGACCTGTTGAATTGTAGAATAAAATTAAGGAATATGCAAACTTTTCAGGGTTTTCATCAAAAATACCGAAGTACTAGTGATTTAATTGTGTCCTATTGACAGGTGATATCATCATTTTAACAGAGAATCATATTGTTTAGTTTCAACAGAACCCAGAATTCGAAAATTACACTTGTTATACTTACAAAATTATGCCAACAGGCAACTAAGGTTTCTTCGACATTGATGTAATTAAACAAGTCCAGTTCAGTCTAATGGGTGAAGTGGGTAAAGTCCGGAAAGTCTACAGTCTCTAGCCACAATTTTGGTACATGTGGCACTATTACCCGACCAAACGGATAGACATCATTAATCATCAACAGGACAGGTAACAAGACTTGCGGTGGTTCAAGAATCAGTCCAGTTTCATCAATTTAATCAATGAGCTTGGGAGCTCCGCGGCGCTACGATAATTGTGTCATTTTGTTCACGTAAACGTGGGTCAGTGCAGTTCTGGAAAAGGAAACCGTACTCCTAATGGTTCTTTGGAGTGAAAGTCTTAGGTCTTAGGTTTTGAAGTGTTGAAATCCGAAGTATTTCACGGGTTCGAGGCTGATCCCAATGGTCCCGGATTTTGGTTTGTCGGTTTTCGATTGATGGGTAATGCCCACTAACGAGAATTTGGGGGCACGGTCCGCTAGTAAGGGTGATTGAGATAGGGATTCCGGTAATTGAAAGGAAGAACCTGAGAGGGAAGAGGGGTGGGAGAGCTGCAGTATCTGCTTGCAGTGCACAAACATGCGCATCTGGATAGTGAACCCATTTTTACATTCACATAAGTGAAGTTTGCATAATGCACGCCTAGAAATACGAAGGAAATTTATGACCCTTTTTTCAAATTGTTTTCTGTTTTTACGTTTTCGCTTTTGTTTTTGTTTGTTTTTGTATGCATAAAAATACACATTATCAAAAAAATTATGACCCAATACTGTCGGGATAAATGCATTTAAAACGAGAACGCGGTGGATGGAGAGATAGATGAATAGATAGAGAAGGAGAAACTAATGAAAGTTGGTGGTGGCGTGTGTAAGACCAAGGAATATATCAAAATTGTGTTTGAACATACTTTTTGAAGGCGCATCAGCAACCTTCTGCGGGAAACTGTTCCATAATGGAATGACTCTATGGGTAAAGAACCAGTGACGAACTCGGGTGCGGTGTCGAGGCTTAAACAGCTCTTTGCTGTGATCACGAAGCTACACGGGGTGAAAATCTGGTTGGCCATGTCCGTGGAGAACAAGTGGTAAAGAATAAAAAGATCCGCTTCAAGGCGGCGGGTGTTTGAGGGTAAAGGTTCAGTGTGGTGAGACGAATGGGGTATGGGACATGGAGGAGACCTGAAACTAGCTTTGTGGCCGCACGCTGAACTCGTTGGAGGGAGTTACGATCACTAACAAGCCCAGAGCCCGCGATTTGGGCTCCGTATTCTAACAGCGGTCTTACATAAGTGCCATATGAGAGTTGCAAGTCTTCTTTATCAAAGCGAGGGAATGGGCGCTTGATAAAGTTGAATATTCCAAAAGCCTTTTTCGGGCTTTTTGGCGGTGGCAAGAAAAATATAGATGGTTGGATAACCAGAAGCCAAGGATTTTTTGCTGGTTGACAGTCTGAAGTCGGGATGTTTTGCACACATTGCAGGTGTGCGCGCCACCCATGTCAAAGGACATACACATTTATCATCATTTATTGGTAGGCTCCAGTCTGATGACCATGCTTTGGTGATATCCATGGCTGCCTTCACCGCAGATGTGTCACTCCCCCAGATTGTGAAATCGTCAGCATAGATAGCAATGTGGACTGAGATTTTTCCAGGAGGCCATTTATGTATAAAATGAAAAGTAGTAGGCCTAAGACGGATCCTGGGGAACACGTACTGTCATCGGGGAAGAGTTGAAGATAGAGGTTCCCGCTCTAACAGAGAAGGAGCTCGAGGATAGAAAGCTGCCTAGAAGAATAAGAAGCCCACCCCTAATACCATAGAGTTCTAGTTTGTGCAATAGTGGAGAATGTGGTACTCGACCAAAGGCCTTGACAAAGTCTATGAAGATTGTATGTGAGATTTTACCATCATCTTGGGCCTGACTTTTCATGATATATAGCATATTAGTGATGCATGATCTGCTAGGAACGAAACCGTGTTAAAAGGGAGAAAGAAGGATGTTTTCCTTCAGGTGTACAATAATATGTTTCTTAATGAGACGTTCAAAAGTTTCGCTGGGGAAACTTGTTACGTTTATAGATCTATAGCTGCTGGGATGATTCCGGGGTCTCATTTTGCAGATAGGTGATATGATTACCTTTTTCCAGGTATCAGAGAATTCACCTTTATCTAGACAGTTCTGAAACAGCCGCCCGTAATGTGGGGCTAGTACAGCTGCTGTCTCTTTGAGTATTCTGGGATGGACCTCGTCTGGGCCCATTGAGCTATAGGGATTTAGAGACTTTAGAAGTTTGAGTACTTCTCGGGTCTGAACAATTAAGTGCCCGATGGGGTCTGTGTCTGACTTGGGCTGTAGAGCAGGAAATGAAGTACTCTCTTAGAGCAGAGTAGTTGGTCCGTTTGAAGGACCGCAAGGTTCTTGGTGCTGAATTATCAGATGGAGTCAAAGCTCAGAAGAGAGCGGTCAAGTGAGAAGAAGGTGCAGACCTCGTCGATTTGGTGCCGATGGTTCGTTATCACTAAATCTGGTAGAGGAGACTGGCCCGGACGAAATCTGGTGAGAGAGCGTAAATGTTAGTGCCATGATCCCTCAGTAATAAGGTCTAGAAAGGGGCTGACCAAAGAAGATATCACTGGAGTTAGTCCTAACCGAGCGGATGGCTGGAGCGTTAAAGTTGCCAGTAATGACGTGTGTACAGGGGCAGCAGGATCGAAGATAGAGAAGTTGGTTTAGAAGGGCCTGTGCTTGTGTCTGGTCGCTGGTTGGGGAGCGATAGATGACACCTAATAACACGGAATCTCTGTTGAAGAGAGATATGTTTGCCCATAGAGCGTCTATCATGAGGATGGGATCCTGGGGTACTAAGACGGTTGGAAGAAGGGACTGGCTCAAGTAGACAGCTACACCACCGGCGCGGTCTCGCTTTGAGTCGCTCCTGAAAAGTGTATAGCCATCTATTTTGACTTCCGCGTCTAACATATCTGGTGTTAGCCATGTCTCCGTTAGAGTTAGAACGTGTGGCTGAAGATCTTTAATCTTTTGTCTGAGTTCAAGTACCTTGTTATCAAGGCTTGAAAAGTTGGTGTGCATTCGTTTTAGCACTTGTTCACCAGGAATTTCAAGAGACAGCACAAGAGGGTTATTTTAAGCCTGGATTCCCACTGGAGTTATATTTTGAAACGGCTCTTTCCCCTTGCTCACGAGTTGGAGTTTTGGCTCCTGCGCACGTTTTGGCTTCCTGCAGTACGAGTACGGTAGAGTTCCTGGGTGGTTTGCCTGCTTTATCTGCTCCTTCCCGTGAAGAGGATGAGGCTTTACTGGTCTGGGGGTCGGGACACATTGTCTGCTTTGTAAAAAGGCAAAGCGGCGGCTTTTCGGTGATTTGTGATTTTAAGGAACATCATTGGGGTGATTGTCGGAGTCAGTGGCTTAGGGCTTTGTGGAAGAATGGCAGGTTCTCTAGGAAGAATGGGGCAGTGGGGACACTGTTTAGAGGGATTTGCCCGTAGAGAAGGAGCAACTTGATAAATGGGCAGCGGTTTACTCCCTAGAATTCCCCTTTTCGCAGGTTGCAACTTCTCCTGGTTAGTGCACCTCCTGCTTACAAACTTTTGGTGAGTTTGTTTCCTGTTTACGCAAACGGATTTTATTTGCTCATTATTCAGCCTAGAAGACGGTTTGAGCAAGCTCCGGTCAGCAATGAGAGTAGGCTCATCGTCCTTCCCACTGCAGAAGCTTGTATTCGGGGAGCTGCAGGCTAGAGGGACAGAGAACATTTCGAAAATGGGTCTGTGGGAGGTCAGATCGTCAGCAGGGATAGAAAGACGTGTGAGGTTGATCGCAACCTTCATTAAAAGTTTGATGTCTCTTTGCAATTTCTTAGGGGAAGATGGTGGCAGTCTTGTGTGGATGGGTTTGTCTGGTGACACTCCCCTCACCAGTTTGTCATTGAACTGGATTTTCTGTATTTGTGCAATGCAGTCCGTAACCACCGACGTGTAGTTAAATCCCCTAACTAGTCCCAACACCCGTTTCTTATGTTTTGAGACTAGCCATGTGAAGCTGTATGGGTAAGGTATTTTCGGGGAGGTGAGGTTTCCAAGGAGGGATTTTGCATTTTGGGTAGGGGTCTGGTCCTTAGAGAAACGGCCACATATTATCACCCTCCTTGCGCAAGCTTCTTCAATAGTCAGCATTTTGGCTGTGTCTAAGATATCTTGTTTGGATATCTTAATTTCTTGTGAGGCGGCCTTGGTTCTTTGTAGCTAATTCTGGATGAACAACCTAAGCTCGAAGATCTGTTGCTCGAGCCGTGAAACACGAGCCTTCATTTCTGCTATCTCTTCCGCTTGTGATTTTGCTGCTCGTTCTTGTGCGAATGGGGAGTTCTAAATTATGTTTTGGTTAAGACACATTCTAAGGGCGTCAGCATATATCTGAGAAACTATGCCGCATGGGGAGAGTACGCTCATTCGAGTACTTAGAGCTACGTTGGCTATGAAGCAGATTAGATGACATGACGTAAGGAGATGAAATTTGCAGTTGAGAATGAAAATAGAATTGTCAAAAAACACGAAGATAGTTGCGTTAAATGCGAGCAACTTACATTTGTAAGTTCCTTTTTTCGGATTTAATAGAGAGAATGTGTAAAGGTGCACATCAACGAGTGATATACCACAACGGATATGTCTAATAACTTTTCAAGGAGAGCACGTCAAAAAGTTTCAACTTGGCGCCAGTTCACAGCGAGCTCGGGATCAAAGCAACAGCTGGTGACCCTCTGCTCCGAGCTACCCAGATTTATAGATTTGTTATTAAGAAGCAACATGAGCTCCAAGTGGTGATGCTTGTTACGGCCGCCCGCTGGAACTGTCTTATACGCGTACCGTTCAATCGAACGCCTCGT